ACGTCACCACATTTTCCAATCACCGGAGCTGATGAGATTTTCATTTAGAACATCTGCTCATAGCTCATTTCTTCCCCCTCACTCATTAAGGGCATTAGATTTTTATTGATGTCAGCTTCGCCTGCATATTAATGATTTATATGTGTGCCCACCGTAATAAGTTTGATTAATTGAACAAGACTTCACCGTGATGCCTTCTAGGTGACGACAATCACCAGGACGCAATTATCTTTTTTAATAAAAACAATGAAGTGCAGGTAAACAATAATCTTGTCAACACAATCGTTTGCTTGGAATGAAAGTAAACAAAGGAAGTGGCAAGAGTGTGATAAAGAATGTTTTCACCTAAATTATACAGTTCTTCGGGGATGTCACTGTACACCACGAGTGTCCCTTTAGGAACACTGCACAGCTGTCTGTATAAGTGTAAGAAACTGCTGCGTTCTGCATCACAGTTCACTCTCGTACACACGTGATTCTATAGTAGTGGTTAGCACGCCTGCCTGCAAGGGGGCAGCCTGTTGCAGGAGTTCTGCTGTTAACACAAAAATTTCTGAAGTGTGGGATCAATAAAGTTAAAACTATTGTTATCATCTGTCTAATTAGTTGTCAGACAAAGAATAATAACATTATGTTCTGTTTTTAATATCTGTTGTTATAGCTACTTGAGCCACTTCCTGGAGAATGTTACAGGGGGAAGTGGGGCTTATTCAAGGTAGCGTGGCGCCAAAGGGGGATTACATCATGGAAAGGTTGACAACGCATAACACGCTGAAATATGAGCCACGTTCCATTTATTGTCAACAATATTAGCTCATAATGTACAAAAATGACCTGGAACTGTTTCAAGTTCATGTTTTATCTGTCAACGTAATGACCAAATATTGTACAGGTTAAGGGCCTACAACTTCTAACATCAAAAAGGCCATTTTATTGTTTTACCATCAAATAGAATTCACTTCAGGCGACAAAACGTTCCAACTATTTTAAAGAAGGTAATAGTGCAAAATGACAGAAGAAGCCACAGGCTGCCACCTCCTGGAGTAAACTTTGTAGTTAAACAATAATTGAATTAACAAAGAGTTCTGAATAAGATCTAGCTAATAATGTTAACACAGACATTTTAACACTCAGGTTCCAGTTTTCCTAATTTCAATTTTGGAAAAGTCTCTCACTCTCACTCAACCCAGTGCAAAGTAATGTCATCATCAACCCTATGTTTGCAAATGCAAAAGCAGGCTAAATATTATACACCAAAATATGCTACTGGAATATAGTAAGTGTAAAATGATGAAAGTGCAGGATTTTAGTCAAGAAGGCATTTGAAATTAACAACATCAGCTGTATTATGCTGTACACCAGAAGCAAGAGAACTCGCCTATATCTTACTGTTGTGATAACAGCGGTTCCAGTATAATATTGTAGCCGGAAACATTAGATGTAATTGTATTAGAGAACATTTCAACACCCTGACCCTTGAAGTCAAGCTCTGCACTCTTTCTGGGTAATATACAGTATCCATCATCAGCCTGGCCCCTGGAGGTGTTTTTCTTAATACGAAGCTGTAATACAGTTTGCTGCTGTAGCTCCTCTCACAAACTGCCTCATCTACCAGTAATAGCAGATTGTCACTGCATACATTTCCCATAGGAGACTTTTTCTGTTCCCAGAGTGAAGGTGGATGTGGACATGGGTTGATTAAATGGGTTTATGAGAGACTGGGGTTTCCATCAAAAGTGGGCATCTATGACAAAAAGCAGGTTGTGGCCCCTATAGGGTGAAACATTGGGTATATGTACATGGACTAAAACTGACAGGATACAGAACCTGTCTGGAAGCTGCTATTGATCGAGGTGATATACGATGGAACAAGTAAAAAAAATAATACAACTCTAATGCATAATGTATAATGTATTTTGAATAAAAAATGTGATTTTGCCAGTTGGTACCCATTTTATACACACTTGTCTCTGTTGTATTTGCAGTACAACATGTACATATTTTCTATGATCATTCACATAGTGTATATATATATATATATATATATATATACACACTATGTGAGATATAATNCTCACTGTTCAGTAAAGTCCTCCCAGCAAGTACTACATATGATGGATTTTAAATCCATCATATATCACATAGTGTGTGTATATATATATATATATATATATATATATATACACACACTATGTGATATATGATGGATTTAAAATCCATCATATGTAGTACTTGCTGGTAGGACTTTACTGAACAGTGAGATCTGCAAGCAATTGAAAACAAAAAACTGAATATTTAAACACTATGCAAATACCACAGACATATCTATTCATTCCATATATAGCTGATGACCAGAGGGAGTATATGAAGATCAAAGCAGCAGCATAAATCTTCAGCCACTGTTGGAGATTTATGCTCTATATGCCACAGTCACCATCACCACCCACCAGCTGCTTTACAGTACCAACTGAAGAAGGTGAAACACGGTTTCAGAGACATCCATTAAGCTTGATCCTGCTGACATTACTGAGAAACCATCCAAATCAGGATAAAGATTTCTACAGGCAGTGAACATCAGAGGAGAAGGAGTGCAGTGACACTGTGTTGGAGGATGAACCAAGAGAGGTTTCCAGGGGTGGCATACTGGCCAGGAAATAAAGTACATCTGTATTCCAGAGACGGACATTCCAACTAGCAAATAAGTAATTCTCAAGTTATACAGCCCTGTCTTATTTTTTTGTTTGTTGGTTTTGTTTTATTTGTTAATGTGCACAGAGATTTTATTCTGCCACGGCACTCTTTGGCACTTGTTCCTTGTGTACCTAGACTGAGTCATGGTAACACATTACTTTACTATGGTTGTAAACAAGAATCCTGTAGATGATGCTTTTGTTTTTGTTTAGCTGTTACTCTACTCTCAGCTGCCATCTGTCACATTGATGGTGGTTCATCACGGGTCACCATGTGGTATCAGTGTCTTTCAGTCATCAGTAGAACCTTTCAGCCCTTTGATTAATTACAACTTTTTGATCCAACGTTCTTCTACTTCATGACTAGTCTTATGAGCTCCAAAATGTAATACTGAACCAAGTATTTCAATATTTTTTTTACAATTTTAACTTGCTCTCTTGCTTCTCTTTCTCTCTATACACATATTTATATAAGGATTATATATATACACATATACATATATAAACATAAATACTTCTATACAGACCACAGATTTGATATGATTCATGTTTTGTTTTTTGTTCACAAAACAGTATTATCACACATTTCTTTAAAACACTGAATGTGGAAAATGAGCTAGAGTTTGAAGCAAATCAAACTGTGCAGATGTATTATCCTTTGGACGTGGAGTGGACACAGTGGAAAATAAGAAAATAAAAAAAGAACTATGGAGAAATATTTGCAATAATGCCAGCAGACTGCGTCCTGCTCGTTTCTTTTCTGCTTCTTCCTTAAATAATTTACCTTAAATAATTAGATTTGGTTGCTAATTGTTAAGTCCACTGCCCCTTGATACACAAGTGATAAAAATCTAGGTCAGGGCTCAGAGCAGGGACTCTGTTCAGCTGAAGCACTGGACAGAAGAGAAAGAAAAAGTATCCCTGCAAAGGTCAGACTATTCATCAGCTAAGGAGGTAAGCAGCCCCACAACTGGCACTTAAATTTAAATATTTAATTCTTAAACCACAACCTAAAGACCCACACACACACATTGAAACAGAGCCAACAATAATATATATAAGAGCCAGAGCAGTGTAAAGCAAAAGAGTGCCTCACACATCCTATTGAAAATGACTAGAGTAGCTAAGGTACCACAGCAGCGGTACTCAAAGTTCAAAGTCAAAGTACTCTGTCATATGCACAGTAAAACGTTCGATTGCACTCTCCAATGGAATTCTTAGATCAGGGTTGAACAGTTTCAGACTCCTAAAAGGAATAAATACTGAGCTCAGACATAGTGAAACACCAGGTACCTATTTCTATAAGAAAGAAAAAGCAGCATTCACTACACAGCAGCAATTACTGTTTGTTAGAGCAGCAACATTTAGCAGAGAAACAGAGGAACATCATGCCAGAGCACTAACAGTTTGTGAGAGTCTTATGCTACAACAGAAAAGGTTTGCTCACACAATATACAAGCAATGTTCAAGATCAACTATTTGTGCAATACACAATTTAAACTGTAGTGTACAGAAGAACTGGTAGTACTGCAAATAGTACAAAGATTAATTTTATTAAATCATGTCAGGCATCTACAGAGTAATAATGGTCCAGAGTCTGTCAACATGTACGGGAAAGCTAATAAACATTCATGTTCAGCTTATAAAAATATAGAATTTACTGGTTTGTGCATGTACATGTATGGAGTACGGACAGGAGGTACTAGGGTTGCCAGATGAGAAATTATGAAAAAAGAAAAAGAGAAACACTGTATTGTCAAACTTTGTCATGCACCCTCTCACACAACCACTGTCTTTATGCTTCATCCTGCAGCAAAATAAAAGTATCTTTTCTTTTGTACTTTCCCACACACGTCTCAACTCACTTTGTACTGATGTGGTATTTTGGTAATGAAGTGTTCAAGTAAAAAAAAAAACAACTTATTTTTAGTCCAAAATGCCCAAACTCTACTGCACACCTGAAATGACTCTTGTAAATTACTTACCAGAGTTTAAATACACATTGCTCTATAATGCACAAAAATCATACATTAATTTCAAACTTAACCTGGTGCCATGTATAAACACACCTTTGTATTTTGCATTAAATATTCAGCTTCCAAACAATACGTAGGTTAATGCAGACAAACTAAAATGAGCGCAACATTAACCTCCTCTCTTTTAAACTACTGTTTGTAATAAAATATCAACAGTGACTGCAAACGACGAAAGTGCGTCAAGCGTCATTTTATTGTTTTAACATACTATTTATATTGTTTATATGTGCGTTAATTGCCTACCAGCACAGGAGAAGCACACTTTTGGACTTACCTTTGGTTCCTTTTCCTACAGCTTTTCCACGTTGTGCGCGTCCATTTCGATTTCTTTAAGTGTCACAATTCCAAATTCCTCCACTACTGCAATTACTGTCTCGAGACACAACGATGCAACGTTCCTTCAACACACTGTACGACTCTTAGCCCGTGTTTTATTGTTGTGCAGTTGTCGTCAGTTGCTGTTGACAAACTTCCAAACATAATTCCTACCAGTGGTGCCCTCCAACGCTCGTTAGATTGTTGTCATCTAGAGGGCACTGTTTCATCTCTTATAAAACAAATCCAACTAAAACATCAGCAACCCTAACCCTAACAGCTGTTGCTTGATCACCCGTATATTTTAGAAAATGTTATTCTTTTTGTGTGTATTTATGAAATATTTTTGTTTTAATTTTAAGCCTTTTGATGGTGAGTTTTTTTGTGAAAAACTATTAGTGACATTTATTAAAAAAAAAAGCCCAACACGTGAATCAATGGTATGTAAGTAGTAAACCAAAAAATGAATGAAAGATTTAAAAATACTGACATAAATAAGACCACGTATGTTGGAAAATACTTTTTGAAGTAAATTTTATAGACTGACGCATGTCTTATTAGTTCAACATAGCAAAATTATAATTATGGGATAGAAATCATGAGATGAACATTCTGGAAAAATGTTTGTAATTGTCATTTAATACCAGATCTTTGGCAAAATATGTATTTTTTTAGCAAAATAAAAACAAATTCATTTATATGATTATCTTAACTTCCTTGAATTGTTGTGAAGTTGTCATTTAAAGTGTGACATTAAACATTTAATGGTTTATCTTTGAAGAGTTTATTTACCTTTATCTATCTATCTTTATAAAATTCACCAATAAAGAAAAGTCTCAGCTGGGAAGTTAAGATTTCAGTGTAACCTTTATCACTACTAATTTTGTCCTAATATAAAATATTTGTTCAACATTTCCAGGCATTGTTCTATGCATTATACCTGTGATAGCAGGGAACAATTTGTTTTTCTTTATCTCAAGGGAATATTGTGCAGTAAGTGCCAGCTTTAGAAAACCTGGCTTTTTTTTTATCCCTTAGGAAGTAGCTGTACTGAAGATGGAGCAAGCTTTTACTCTCTGGAAGATCCAGGACACCTTTTATCTTGTCACGCTGAAAATGCTTTTTCTCACCATTATTTGTGAAGGGAAAAATAAGAAACGGGAAAAAATAAATGAAAAACAACAGTGGTTTTTGGGATGCAGCCACAAATGCCTGCATCACATCAATTTTTGTAGAAATAATGCTGGCTTTTGGCTGGTTATAGAATCAATAACAACGGTTTTGCTGTATTATCAAATTCACACAAAACTTTCGGGCTCTTGTGTATAAATACTTCTTTGAATTTAACCACGTAACATGATAATTCAGGGTTTTTTTTGTTTGTTTGTTTGTTTGTTTTCTTTTGTTTTCTTTTGTTTTCTTTTGGTTGATGTCACTATTTGTAGTTGTGTTTGGGCATTTCTGTAGTCTACATTACTGTACCTATAATGACCACTAGATGTCCTTATCAGCCAGGTTAAAAATATTAAAAGACAGAATTTTAGGATATCGTGAATAAACAGATTTCTGCACATTGTGCGCAGTTACTCTAAATACTTTACATGTATTTTGTATATATGTATATTTTAAAGTTTAATAATCTTGCTGTAGTTAGTTAGCTATTTAGTATTAGTTATTTTTGTAAATGTGTTTACTGTGACCTCAAATATGCAAGCAGTAAAATAACATTTAACAGTTTTAAGTGTGCAATTAAAAGTTTTGCAGAGAACAGGGTCAGCCAGTAGCAATAAACAAATAAATAAATATTTGATTTTGGCGTCTCTACAAGGACGTGCGTGGGTTTAAGTGCACCTACATGTGTGCACACTCTCGGTAGCTGCTGCTGACTTCTTATCAAAAACAACAGTGAAGGTCAAATCAGAGGTCAGGAAAAGAGTGAATGTTGACAGTGGAGCAGCAGCAGGAGGAGCAGAGCTTTGCCATGACTCATGCAACCTTTTTGTTTTCTCCTCTGATCACAGTTTGATCACAGTTTAAATCAGTGATTCCCCAGACTGATTAGGAAGCAGTTTTATGCATGCAAGTGAACAATGAAAACTGCATGAATATTTTTAAAATCCAGGCCAAATAAACAAATGCGGATGAATATGTTGTCTCTGTTTTTGGTCGCTGTCCTTTGCCTCTGTCAGTTTGGCCCTTTGAGGGCAGTAAAATCAGACAGTAAGAGGAGTTGGATGAATTTTCAGATCATTTTGCAGCATGATTGTCTCAAAGTTACAACAGAGTAAGAGAAAAAGATAAATATATCACAGTATTTCATTTGAGTTCAGTTGTTTTCTGTACAAATGGCTGCAGCTCTGTGGGAATCTTACAGAGCAGTGCTGATCTGAGTTCAGCACTCAGAAAGGCTTTGACTCAACACAACAACTTCCCAAGTGCGGTATCAATAATGTTTAATGTAATGTAATATAATGTAATGTAATCCAATCTAATCTAATATTGCACAATATAATATAATACAACATAATGTTAGCCAAATTTACATTGGCTAAACAATTTGCTTCATTTAAAACCTTACAAGAACACACAGTGGTACAATTTAAATAGCTTGTAAGGCTTTAGGGAAATTGAATACTAAAGTTTCATTTCTAATTTGAAGTCATTGAAAAATATTCACGTCAAAGTCTATTTAAAATATTTAAGTGTCACGTTTAATTTGATGACAGACTCAATGCAGCAGTGTGAGAACTGGAGCAGGAGCGACACATCCACCGTCGTCATGCCTCAGACAAATAATGAACTGCCTTCATTTAAAATGCAATTATCCTCATTAAGGCATGAGAAGTAGAGGTACGTTAATGGCGCGTGAAAAGCCAAGCTTTTTAGGGGTCACCATAAACGAAAAGAAAAGAAAAGAAAAAAAAGATAAAATATGTGATGTCCCTTAATAACCACCAGATGGTGACTAAGTGCTGTGGCAATTTTTAATACGCTGAGAAACATGAAGAAAGGAAAGTGTGGCAATACAGCAAAGTTCTACTGCTAAGAGGTCATACAAATATGAACAAATGTATTCAGACTATATTCAATTAAATGTATTTTATAAATACTGACAACCTGAAGTACACCTCTGCTGCAGTATGCTGCAAAATTCCCAGCGATAAAGAACATGAACAAACCTTTCTGCATAAAAACAGGTTTTATTTTACATTCAAATGGCCCCCTAATAG